AGGCGCGCACCCAGCTCAAGCGTCTGGCCAAGGCCCCGTGGGCGCTGGCGGAGGCCGAGGAGCTGGAGAAGAGCTGGCTGCTGCTGGCCGACATCTACTGCCAGGGCGGCAAGTTCGACCTGGCCTCCGAGCTGCTGCGACGCTGCGTGCAGCACAACAAGGCAAGGGGCCAAGGCCCTGGGGGGCGGACTGGACACCGGGTGGCAGGCGTCCAGGGTAGAGCAGACGTGGGATGAGGAGAGGCCAGGAAAGAGCAAGATGGGAACAGGGAGCACAGCACAGGGCAAGGCAAGGAGAGGCTTACAGCCGGGCCGGTGTGGCTCAGTGGTTGAGCGTTGACCTATGAACCAGGAGGTCACAGTTTGATTTCCCCATCAGGGCACAGGCCCAGGTTGTGGGCTCGATCCCCAGTGGGGGGCGTGCAGGAGGCAGCCGGTCAATGATTCTCTCTCATCATGGATGTTTCTCTCTCTCCCTTTCTCTCTGAAATCAATAAAAATATACTTAAAAGGGGGGGGGAGGGGAAAGAGGCGGACAAAGCCGGGCAGCCAAGGGGAATGTGGGATGGGGGAGAGAATTGGGAAGGATTCCTGGGTCCAGGGGTCGCTCAGGCGAGGAGGGGCTGCGGGTGCCCGGCGCCGGGGCCGGCTGGGGCCTGCCCCCGGCAGGGGCTCTGAGCCGCTCTCCCCGCAGTCCTGCTACAAGGCCTACGAGTACCTGGGCTTCATCATGGAGAAGGAGCAGTCCTACATGGACGCCGCCGCCAACTACGAGCTGGCCTGGAAGTACAGCCATTATGCCAACCCCGCCGTCGGTAAGGCCACCGGCAAGGTTCCCGTGGGCGCGGGAGGGGGTCGGCAGCAGGACCGCCGCCCTGACCTCACCGCAGGCCTCGAGGCCTGTGCTCGGGCCCGCGGTGGGAGCCGGGGGGGGGGGGGGGGGGGGGGGAGGGGAGGGGTTTACTCAGGTCATCTGTGCCACCGCCGTCTGTCTTCTCCCTGCCCTCGGACAGGCTTCAAGTTAGCTTTCAACTACCTGAAGGGCAAGAAATTCGTGGAGGCCATCGAAGTCTGCCACAACGTAAGCCACCAGCGCTGGCGGAAGCGGGGGAGGGTGGGGGAGAGATGGGGGGGCGGTTGGGGCGGGCAGCGGCCTGGTGTAGCGGCAGGGAGCCCCTCTGATGTTTTGACCCCCTTTCTCTCTCTGTTCAAGGTCCTCGGGAAGTACCCCAACTACCCCAAAATCAGAGAAGACATCTTGGTGAAGGCCCAGGGCTGCCTGAGGGCCTAGCTGTGGCCAGCGGGAGCCAGGTCGGATGGAAGCCACCAGCCTGCTGGGATCTCATGGCGGGGGGGAGGCGGGGGGGGGGGTAGGAGGGGGGCCGGGCGGGATGTGCATCCGTGGAGAGAGGTTCAGAAAATGACTTATTCTTCCCCAGGCCTGTACTGTGTGATTTATTTGAGCCACGCCCGCTCCGGTCTTAAGGGCCCCCAAAAACTGTATACGTTTAGGGCACAAGCAGCCGTTTTGCTCTGGGGACCCAGGACAGCGAGCAGCTTAGCTTCCCGCTCAGGGCTCCCTGGGCACCTACCTCTCTTTTAGATCCGGTCCTTTCCCATCAGCCACTTTGATTGCAGACTCCGGGAGGGGACAGAGGGGAGCAAAGAGGTGGTTTAAAAAATGCGCTACAGCTATTTTAATGTCCTTACGGTAGCTCTGTAAATGCCCCTCCTCTCCTGTCTGGTCCCCCAAGTCCTGGAGCTAAAGAGGCAGCCCTTCTAAAGGATGCTCTTCTTGGCCACGGTGCTCGCTGCGTCCTCCCTGGCCACAGGAGCAGATGGGAGGACCAGCTGCACAAGGTCCCCATGGCTGCGGTGCCGAGTGAGAGAGAGACCGCCACCCTGCAGCCTGCAAGGGTCGTCAGCCCACTCTGTCCCTTGCATTCTGTCTCCTCCTCCCCGCGTCCCCAGCTGGCCTCCGCTGGTCCCCACTGGTTTGGGAAATTACCCTTGCCTAGTACAGGGAAATACATCATAAGAAAAAATAGTTCCCACTTCAGCTTCTGTAAAAGACACGGACCAGCCGAAACCGGTTTTGCTCAATGGATAGAGTGTCGGCTTGGGGACTGAAAGGTCCCGGGTTCGATTCTGGTCAGGGGCATGTGCCTTGGTTGCGGGCACATCCCCAGTGGGGGGCGGGTGCAGGAGGCAGCTGATCGATGGTTCTCTCTCATCGATGTTTCTAACTCTCTATCCCTCTCTCTTCCACTCTGTAAAAAATCAATAAAATATATATTAAAAAAAAAGACACGGACCAACTCATTCCTCCTCTAGAGAAACCCTGCAGCACCCATGGGGACACAGGCAGGGGTCCCTCCTTAGGTGAATGTCGTTCATTGTGACTGGCAAGAGGGTGACAGAGGTCATCTTTGCTGTGCTCCCGGTGCCTGGCTTCCTGTTTACCAGGATGGCAGTAATGGGCCCGTCTGACCCCAGGGGGAAGGAACTCTGGGAATCAGGAGGTCTCAAATGTGCGTGTGTGACCTTCGTGGGACCCTACCTTCCCCCCTCTCTTGGACTCAGTGTCCCCATCCGTGGCAGGAAATTGGACCAGATCCGTGTGTTCCCAAACCATGGTACAAATCCCTGCCAGTGATATTTAGAAAACATGTTTCAGGTTTAACAACTGTGTGTTTAGATGGTTTTACACAATGGAGAAGAACAGCACAACCGGCCCATGAATCCGGGTGTGTTGTTACATAGAATGGTTCTAACTTTTAAGGATGTTGATATAACTGACACGGAGTAAAATGCTGAGTCTGAGTAGCGTGTGGTCATGGCAAAGCTATGGAGAGAAGTCCGGTGACTGCGGTTTGGGAACAGCGAACGAGTGAGGGTCCCTTCCAGAGCAGCTCAGGTTGTCTGTCCTTGCTGGCTGCTGAGCCTTGTTTGACGTGGGGTGTGCATGGCCTCTCTGGAAAGCTGTCCCTAGGTTACTCCCCTCTTTCTTTTGGGAAAAGTCCTGCCACGCCTGCACAGCCAGGTTCGGTGAGCCTGAGAGGGGACGGTGAAGGATTGAGAAAAGACAGACAAGAGAATAAAGCTGGGTCTGGGTGGGACGCTGCCCTCTCTGATGGTGAGACAGCGCTACGGCCTGCAAGCCGTGTCTTTATTTTACAGCAGATTCCCCAAGGCAAAGGAAGGGCGTGGCCAAGATGTTTACAGAGTTCTCATGGGTTTCGAATCTACTCAGTTACGTGCACCTGGTCAAGCTTTGTTTACTGGCTGCACCTCCCGCAGCCTCTATCACTCGGCCTCGTGGGCTAACCCATCCAAACACTGTAGCCACTCTCCACAAGGGCTATGCTGAGAGGTCTGTACGGAAAATGATGCCGTAAAAGATTACATATTCAGCACATTTATGTTGCTGTAAAGCCTAGACCAGTGACTGACAAACTCATTAGTCCACAGAGCCAAATATCAACAGGACAACGATTGAAATTTCTTTGGAGAGCCACATTTTGTAAACTTAAACTTCTTCTAACGCCACTTCTTCAAAATAGACTCGCCCAGGCCATGGTATTTTGTAGAAGAGCCACACTCAAGGGGCCAAAGAGCCTCATGTGGCTCGTGAGCCTCAGTTTGCCGACCACTAACCTAGACTGTCTTCATTTATCTTTAAAAAAAAAAAAAAGCAAGTGGTGCTGTGGCTCTAGAGGGGGAGTGAGCAGGCTCAGTCTAGCCATGGGCTGTGTCCACAGGGTAGGAGCGTGCAGGGCCTAACAGCTGAGGTATTGGAGCTGCTGGAGGCTGCCACCCAGACCCCAGGCCAGTCAGAGCCTCGCCTCGCCGCCTTTGGAGAGGTGGGCTTTGGGATCACATGCCGAAGCAATCCCTACAGAAGGATTCCAGTGAGAGAGCAGATGAGGCAACTTGGGTGTCCACCATGAGAAGCCTCAGACCTGGCCGTCCCTGCCTAACTTGGGCACAAGGACAGCCTACCCCACCACAGGCCAGACTCGAAGCCCTGAGTCCTCTAGTGGCCACTGACCTCATCGCCATGTGGCCACGTGCATGCATGTCCCGAGGCAAGAGATGTACCTAAATAAGGTGACAAAACTGGTAAGAGGGGGGGGGGGGGGGGGTGCTAAAACATAAAGGCCAAAGCATGAAAACAGCATGGGAGTCACGAGGCTTGCATGTTCCAGACTCTCTCCGGAGTGCTGTACCTACATGAACTAGACAAGCTTAGGAGGTGAGCAGGGTTATTTGCACAGTCAGAACTGAGGACACCTGGGCACAGTGAGGAGGAAGTCATTTGCATAAGACTTCTCACTTGGTAGTAGAAGAGCTGGGATTTGAACTTGGCACTGTGGGTCCGTGCGCTTAACCAGTAAACCACAGAGAGCACGAACACAGGCAGAGGGTTAGGACAAGAAGCCAGGTGTCCTTGCTGGGCCCCCTTCCCAGCACTTGTGCAAATCAGGGTTATTGCTAAGAGGGAGGCTGACCTTGCTCTTCAAGCCCCCGGACCGGGGCTCACCAGGGCAGAGTGCAGCCTGCTCCTCTGGCCTGCAGCCCAGGCGGCCAGGGGCAGGACAGACAGGTCTGGCCGGTGCAGATGGGTGAAGTTCTACAGCTTCCTGTGTGTGGTGCTCACGTCCCCAGGGACCTCAGCAGCTCAGCCCCACACAAGGCCTCTACCCACCCCACCCCTCTGCCTGCCTCCACCTGGGGGAGGGGCAGTGACTTCACCCCAGGAGACCCCGGGGGGGGGGGGGGCGCGAGGGGCTCTTCCAAAGGGAGAACTGCTCCGGGAGCCCAGCCAGCCTCTTGCAGCTGGCACGGAAGGAGGCCCAGCATGTTGAGTCCTCAGTCCCCACTCCCAACACAGCCTCTGTATCCACGCAGCCCTGCAGGACCCGTCTCCCCTTTCCCCTCCCCTCCCTCCAGGGCGTACACCTGTGTTCTTAAGTCTTCCCACAAACGCAGACCACACCATTAAAAATGGAGCCTTTTTATTGGTACCTGTAAGTTCAGGCATAAGGTGTTCCCACGAGCACACAGGCTGACGGCCTCCTGGGTAAGAAGGCAGGCGCAGCGCCTGGGCTCCTTGGCACAGACACAGAGAGAAATGAATAAATTATAGTTACAATATCGAGGGACAATATAGAAATCCGGATGCAAAACTCATCACCAACAAACGGGCAGAAGAGCCGTAAGGCACCACCCCGGGCCCTGGCCCACTGGCCGAGGGAGCAGGCGGGCGGGCCGGGCTGGAGTGCAGTGTCCAGAAAGCCCTGAGATTGTCTTCCAGGGCGTGTGGCGGGCCCCGAGGCACTGAGGCGAGCCCCTCTCGCTCTCTCCGCCTCCTGCTTCCCCTTCCTACATCCATGGGCCCGGACTAAAGGCCATGGCCCTTGGGGGAGGGGAGGGACGGGGCAGAGGACAGGAAGTGGAGGGGGGCCGAGTGGGTCACGGTTGGTCAGTTCAGTCCCTCCTCTGTCCGAGGCGAACCTCTGCCTGCTCAGCCATCCGGAGCCAGGCAGCTGCCACAGCGGACACAGGGTTTGAATCCACATCTGGTCTGCACCTACGACCAGGCAGGCGGGGCTGCAGGACTACCAGGTAAAAGGGGGACTCACAGGGTCCGTGCCCCACCCTGACCTCAGCGTTGCCTGCCAGCCAGGGGCGAGAAGCCTAAGCTGCCTCGTCTCCAAATAAATTATGGAAATAAATTATAGTCTTCACAGTCCAGAGGATTCAGCCACCCGGGGTGGGGAAGGCTCAGGGTGGCAGAAGCCGGAAGAGGTAGATGTTTCCAGCCCTGTGTCGCTGTCATCAGGCTGAGAAACATCACGCCCTCCTCTTCCTGGCATGCGCCATGGAAGTGGGAGAGACTGGGCACCAGGGGCTGGGGGGCCGAAGGAGGGAGCCCCCTCCCACTCTCTCCAGCACAGCAAGTTACAAAAATAAATAATACATCAGAGTGTTGCATGAAAATCAGGAATGCCCGCATGGGTGCGTCAGCTAATGGGGGACAGGTTTTACATACAGGCCCCACAGAGCCCCCAAATTATGACACAGCAGCAACAGGGCTTTCGGGGCCGGGAAAAGGCACCCTAGTCCTCGTAACAGGCACGGGCCCCAGCAGGGATGCCAGGGCTGTGTCCTCACACCACTGGCAGTCCCAGAAGGAAGCCAGCGTCCTCGGCAGCTGGCTCAGACAAGCCCATGATGGATTCCAAGAAGCAAACGCCGGTGTCCCCGGGCGGGGAAAAGTGGGGTGCCTCCCAGTTGTCCAGGGTGTCGGACGCCTTCCGAGAGGCGTAGTGGGGCCCCAGCCTGTAGTCCGGCAGGGCCTGGAGCAGCTCGAAGGAGTCGCAGGAAGACCAGCTGAGGTCCACGGAGCTGCTCTGGCCGGCGTCCAGGCTGGGCGGCACCTCGGTGCCAGGGAGGCTGCCTTCTCCCAACCCTTCAAGGCCACTGTTTAGGAAGCAGCTGGCATCCAGGTTGGCATTTTCATCCAGGATGCCCGATGTGAAGCTGGTATTGGAATAGCTGTGGGTCCAGCCGGCCAGGCCACCGGGGTCACCGGAGCCAAAGATATCGGCGAGGTGGAAGATGCTAAGGTTGTCGAGGTTCCCCACGCCCCCTTTTTCCTCCTCCTCCTCTCCGCCCAGGTCTGAGTCACTGAACCTCAGGATCTGCTCCAGGCTGTCATCATCCGAGCCAGGCTGAAAGCCAGGGTCAGGCAGGGCCGGATGGGCAGGACTGTCGGAGGACTCGCTAGTGCCCGATGCCTCCGAGGAATCGGTCATGTCACTGCTGCAGCTGTGGTCTCCCAGCTCGCTGCTCACGGGGGGGCTGGCCAGGGCGAAGGTGGGGCCCAGGGTCTGCCCTCCAGGGCTGGGTGGGCCGCCCAAGGCAGGGGCCTCCAGCTCCCTGAGGCTCTCAGCCCCCTGCTCCAGCTGCAGGCGGGTGAGCGTGTGGAGCAGATGGGTCTGAACCCGCTCCTGGTTGAACTCCACGCGGCCCTTGGGGTTCTCGCAGCCCTCCTTGCAGCAGCCGCAGGGGAACGCCGTGTGGTCCATCTGCAGAGAAGGGAGAGGCGCCGGTGAGGATCCCGAGGAGCAGCCCCCCAGCTCAGGCTCCCGCTCCCAGCCCAGCCCGACCGCCGTACCTGGCACTTGATGCCTGCCAGGCTGCAGCTGCAGGTCTCGGGGTCACAGACCCCGTCGCAGCGACAGCCACAGTCCTCCCGGGACTGGCGCAGAGCCTGCAGCTCCCGCTTCTCCTCCCGGTCGATCTTGCGCACGCCCGCAGCCCGCAGCAGGGCCCGCCGCTTCCGGGCCGGGTAGGGGTGCAGGGAGGTCATTTCCTCCAACCGGCCGCCGGCCACGGCCTCCGCCAACTCCTCATCCACAGAGGCATCGTCAATGGCGTCCACTGTCAGCGTCAGGCCAGCCTCCGCCTCAGGGACCCCAGCCTCCGTAAGCTGCATCCAGGGGAGAGGAGGAGGGACGTGAGAGGGGCAGACATGGTGGTCTCAGTCCCCACAGCCACCAGTCATCTGACCAATGCCCCCTCCTCTCCTCCCCGATGTGCTACTCTGGGCTGGATGGACATCCCAGTGACCAGGGCAGCCAAGAGCACTGCCCTCAGGGCATCTGCAAAGAGATTTCCTGTCCATTTCATGGACACTGACACCCAGTGTCCGTCAATTCCCATCCTCCTCCCCAGTGAAGGCAGACAGACCCAGGTACTATGCCCCATTCTGCCCGCACATAATCCAGGCAGCAGGTCCCAGATCACGCCATCCCTGGCCCCATGCGTGTCTCTCCCCAAACAGTGAGCCATCCCTGCAAGGCCGGGTCGTCACTGTGGACCTTTGTGGGGTCTCTCTCTCCTACCTTCGCTCGAAGCACCTCCAGCTTCTCCTCCTTCAGGCGCAGGCGGAGCTTCTCCTGCCGTGCCCGGGCCTGCTCCTGGGCAAACTCAGCCAAGGAGAAGCGGCGGCAGGCGCTGTGGCGAGGGGCCATGCCCAGGGTGCAGCCCCCGCGGCTGGGCACGCTGGTGAAGCCCTGGCACCGCGGGAAGTAGAAGACGGTGGTGCCGTTGAAGGCGACGCGGCGCAGGCGCTTCCGGGGGGCCCGCTTCAGGATGGACGAGGCTGGAAGGCAGGCGGAGAAGGGGCGACGCATGAGTTCTCGGTGATACACAGCACCAGCCCCTGGAAGAGGACCCTGATCCCCCGCTCCTCACACCCCCCAAAAGAGAAGGATTCAAACTTAGAAGAAAAACAAAAAACAAAAACAAGAAAAAAACGAGGAGCCAGCCTGGCTGGGATCAGAGTTGGTCAAATTGAATGCCACTCCTCTCCTTTCATCTGGTAATAGCAAGAGGCATTCAATCTTGCTATTACCAGATGAAAGGAGAGAATTTATTTATAAGCAGATTATAGATCCCTTGTATAGTTTTCTAGTGTGTGTGTGTGTGTGTGTGTGTGTGTGTACATATATATATATATATAAATATATTATCGATTTTTTACAGAGAGGAAGGGAGAGGAATAGTTAGAAACATCGATGACCAGCTGCCTCCTGCACACCCCCTACTGGGGATGTGCCTGCAACCAAGGTACATGCCCTTGACCGGAATCGAACCCGGGATCCTCCAGTCCACAGGCTGACACTCTATCCACTGAGCCAAATCGGTTTCAGCTCTAGTTGTCTTTTTTATTGATTTGTAGGAGCGCTTTATATATGCTATTAGAGACATGAGTGGCACCTTGGCCTGTCCAATGCAATACATAGAATTCTTATTCCCTCTGTGAACTGAACTGGCTAGCGCTTCCTGAGCACTGTGAGCCAGCAGTGGTGACAGACAGCATCCTCCTCCTGTTCCTGACCTACTGGGAAACGCTTCCAGTCTTTCCTCATCGGTCAGAATCAGCTTTTGGGATGAAACCTATTTTTTAACCATTTAAGCAGAATTCACCTAATGTCTATCTTACCCAGAGTCTTATCTAGAAGGAACATTATGTCTTATCAAATATTCTTTCAGCATCTAGAGTAGCTCTTGTATTTTTCTTCCTCTGACACAGTCAGTTGGCAAACTGTGAGATTGGTTCTTATATATTAAACCATCCTTCTATTTGCAGGATAAACCCACAGTCGTTTCGTCAGTTAATGCACCGTTAGATCTACGTGCTAAAAATCATACTTTATATAGAACGCAGATATGCAGGCAGTACATAAACGAACATCATCTCTGTGCTCATAAAGTATCAGACGGGGGTGATGAGGGAAAACACAGTCTGAAAAGGCTCATTGGGGCCCTGACCCGTTGGCCTTCGGACTGAAGGGTCCCAGGTTGGATTCCGGTCAAGGGCATGTACCTGGGTTGCAGGCACATCCCCAGTAGGGGGATGTGCAAGAGGCAGCTGATCGATGATTCTCTCATCAATGATTCTAACTCTATCCCTCTCCCTTCCTCTCTATAAAAAACCAATTAATATATATATATTTTTAAAAATGAAAAGGCTCTTTGGGGCTGGGGGGCGTGATCAGACAAAGCAAGGTTGAGAAACTGCCCCGGGGCCGCCTCTGTCAGTTTGGAACCAGAACCTGCCGGCTCGGAAAGTAACCTTTTCACTCTGGTCAGGTAAAGCCAAGTGGCATTTTGACAGGAGAGGGACCGGCTTGACAGGCCTCGCAGCGGAGACGTGCGGGCGTGGGGCTCTGCAGAGCAGCTGGAAGGAGGACAGGGCGAGAGCTGGAGAAACGAAACTGGAGCAGAAGGGAGGAGCCGGGGCGGGAGGCCTGAGGGCCACTCTCAGGAGCTCTGCTCTGAATGTCATGACTTTGAAACGGGGGAGTCCCAAGGTCAGAGGTGAACGTAGCCACGACCATGCGCCTCTGGACAGTGGGCATTCAGTGACCACGGTATTCCAGGAAGGGGATGAGTGGGGAGCGAAGGCCACGGGGACACGGCCTCCGGTGGCTAGGATGGCTTGGCCTCCCGTGCACCTTTGGGGGGGGGGGGGGGTGCGGTGGGGTCCCCAGGGGAGTAGGGACTCACGGGTAAAACTCTGGGGGCCACTGACGGTCCGGTCCGGCAGGGACATCCGATCCCAGGGGCCCTCCTCTTCCAGGTCCCAGGCTGGGGAGCTTGGGGAGCAGGGGCCAGAGCAGCGGCCCGAGGAGGACAAAGACGAAGACGAGCAGAGCGAGGAGTCATCCTCTTCCAACTGGTCAAACTTCCTTTTCAGCGACCCAGCCATGGCGGGTCCCGGGCGCAGGCAGCCTGGAACGGGAAGGAGAAGGCTCTCAGAGGCGGGCCTGAGGGGGTCCCAGATCGTCCCCTCTCCCACGTACCCTCCGAGGTGTCCCAGGCCCCGGAGCTCTAGGTGCAGGGGGCACATCCCCGGGGGGCTCCTTTACACACAGGACCGAGCAGAGAGGCCCAAACCCCCGTCCTGATGCTCGGAGATCCCCTCACTCCGCCCTGAAGCCCTTCCAGGACACGGCCAGGCCCCTTCCCCACGGCCCCCTGCCGCCCACCTGCACAGGCGCACACACAGCAGACGAACAGATGGACCGACAGACCTCTGCCCAGCCTCGATCGCTCCCCGACAGGAATCCTGGGGGCTGACTCACGGGCTGGGTGATTCACAGGCCTCGCATCTGTGTGCTTTTGTGTGTGAGAGACTGTCTGCGCAGCCATGGCTCTGCTTCCTCCTCCTCCTCCTCCTCTTCCCCCCCTCCGAGCACACCCACAGGCACCCTGCCCTGCGCGCACACAGCAGCTGCGGGCCTCAGTCCCAGGGCCAGGCCGGCCAGGACACTCCGGGACACAGGCTGCTCTGCCGCCGGCCCTGCTTCCCTCACCCAGGACTTTCCCCGAGTCCCTCCTCTCCCAGGAAGGACCTGCCCAGACTTCCCCTCAGAAACCCCCGCCCCACGGGGGACATGCCTCTCCTGTCATGACCGCGGGACACCCAGGCTTCATGCCGCTTTCACATCGCCAGTTTGGTCTTAAAAGGTCACCTCCACCTGCCTTCTACTCTCATAGCTAGCCCCGTTTGTGTGAATTAACTTCCCATGGAAATTATTGTTTCTCATTAAACAAACAAACAACTCTTCTGGTGACACCGACCTGCCAAGACAATGTCCCCCTCTCTCCGGCTGGTAGCTCGGGGGCTGGGAGCCTCCCCAGGACACGCTGCTCCTGTCTCCCCTTTGCAGGTCTCAGTCCTCCGGGGGAATGCAACCAGACTCCCACCGTCTGGCTGGCCCTATCCGAGGGGCGCGGTGGGGACTTGGGGTCCCCTCCCCTAAATGCCAAGGCAAATAACAGTCCCTCCCAGCCCCTTGGGAATCCCCTCAGGACTCCGTCCTCAGGGCTGATCACCGCCAGCTACCTTGTCTCGGCACATCCGGTGGCACTCAGGCCCCCAGGAGGTCACTCAGAGGAAAGGGAAACCATGCAGGGGCCCCAGCGCCGGGGAGCCCCTCCCCCACAGCTGTCACAGGAAGTGAAAGAGAACAGGAAAAGCCAACCAGAAGGCGCCTGGCGACCTCCCCCCCTCAGGTGTCCTCCCCAGACACCCCTTTCTCCCTGTGCCCGCCTCCCTCCCACACAGCCCCTGCGTGCTGGGCCCAGAGGGTGTGCTGGCCATCCACTCACTGGGTAGGCTTCCTGGGTAAAATCCTCTGCGGGGACAGCCTGTCCCTGCAGGCCCGAGGGAAGCCAAAGAGGGCTGGCCTCCTTGCAAACTCTCCACACGGGGCCCGGGGGGGAAAGAGGACACACAGGTGTTTCCGGGGGCCTCTCGGCGGGTGCGTTCTCAGGCTTGGCACCCCCTCCCCAGGTTAAACCACAAACAAAAACAGCCCGGCTCACAGCTGACCTGCAGCTTCTCCCAGGAGCTGGGGGGACTCGGCGACCCAGCATCAGGTCTGCACACAGAGAATGACACGTGCGGGCCAGAGCCACTCACACACACACACACACACACACACACACACACACACGGGGACAAAGCACACCCAGGCCCGCTGTCCCTGCCACCACAGTCTCCCTACGGGGTCCGTCCTTCCCCAAGCTCCAGATGTGTCTACGGGGTGCTGAGTGAGTCCCGAATCACACCCCCAAGCCTGAGACCCCTTCCCTCCCCCAACGCCAACGCCAAATGCCCACTTGGTATCTCTGCCCGGCTGTTCCCTAGAAACATACAATCCTGCAGGCCCCAAATCGAACCCCCTGTCTGCGCGGGCCTCCCCCCACCCCAGCCCATGCCATCTGTTCCTCTTCCTGTGTTCCCTATCTTAGTAACAGCACTGCCACCCACCCGGTTACTCAAGCCAGAACCAGAAACCTGCAGCCATCCTCAACTCCTCTTCCCTCTTCTCTCCCTCCGTCCACGTCCCGCCGCACGTTAACGCGTCTGGCCCCCACCAGGCCCGGCACGGGCCCCGGAGGTATCATGGAGGCCACCCAGCACAGGGTTAAGGGCCTCGGCTCCAGAACCAGACTGCTGGCATTTAACCCCGGCTTAGCTCTCAATTAGCTGCGTGACCCCGGGTCAGTTCCCTAACCGCGGCACTCCACTCCGATCCTCTGTCAGAAAACCTCGTGGGGTTAGGAGGCTTCCCTGAGTCAATTCACGTCAAGTGCTCAGTGCCTGAGACAAGAATGAGCTCCTGGACACACCACACACACACACACACACACACACACACACACACACACGAATCTCACTGATGCCCCGTTAGATGAAAGGAGCCAGGCGCAAGAATGCATGTGAATGAAGCTCAAGAAAACGCAGACCAGCCGAAACCGGTTTGGCTCAGTGGTAGAACGTCGGTCTGCAGACAGAAAGGTCCCGGGTTTGATTCCGGTCAAGGGCATGTACCTTGGTTGCGGGCACATCCCCGGTGGGGGGTGTGCAGGAGGCAGCTGGTCGATGTTTCTCTCTCATCGACGTTTCTAGCTCTTTATCTCTCTCCTTTCCTCTCTGTAAAAAATCAATAATAATTTTAAAAAAAGATATAAAATTCTGGTACATTCTACAACACGGATGAAACTTGAAAACATTAAAAAAAAGAAAAAAAAAAGAAAAAAAAGAAAACGCAGAGCCGATCCCTGGTGATGCAGGTTGACACAGTGGTTCCTGGGGGAGGGGAGGGATGCCTTGGCAGCAGCCAGGAGGGAATCCTGGGGAAGTGGTGGGGTGAGGTTAGGGGGGAGCAGGCTGGAAATGCTCGAAGTTGACCTGGGTTGCTATTTGTTCCATGCGTGTCTAAAACCATAAAACCCACCTAACTGGGCGCATAAGATTCATATACTTCATGCATTTTCTGTACGTCACCTGCAATTTAAAAAGTTTATTGCCCTTATGTCTCCACCCCCACCGCTATTACCCACGTCCTCTCCCCACAGCCACTCTTTACCCCGCAGCCAGAGTAACCTTATTAAACCCCTATCTACCGGCCACCTCGGGGTTTAGAATCCCCCGAGGGGATTCCACAAAAGGCAGAGGCCAGAGCAGGCCTAGGGCAGCCCGTCCTCCAGGCTCCTCCCGTGCCTCCCCACCCCCTCTCACTCCACACTCCAGCAGAACTTGTTGCGCCCCTAATCGCCACAACTTGCTCACCTCCTGGCTCCCCCATCACAGCCCTCACCTCCCCACCTTGCAGTGGCCTCTTGCTCCTCTCCCTCTCACCAGGCTGAGGGCCTCCCAGCTTGGCTGTCATGGTGCCCAGGCCTAGAATGTAGCCTGGCATTGGGAAGGCAACTGAGGACCCTCAGAGGCAGACAGGCGGGTGCTGTGTATCGTGTAGAAACAAGATTAAGCACGTGAGTTCTCTGGGGGGGAGGGGAGGAGCGAGTGGTCAGTGTGATCTCATGCTCCTGTCACAGTCAGTTTAAGGGGGCGGGGTTCACACCCCTCCCCCAGCATGCAGCGGAGGGGTACCCAGAAGGGGGTGGCTCTGAGGGAGAAGGAAACTCGGCTGCAGGCAGGTGCCAAAGCAGGAGCCAACGCGTGCCTCTCCAGAGGCTCCCCGTTCCCCAGTAAACAAACAGAGAGGTCAAGGAAGCAGGTTTAAGCCTCGGCTCTGCCCCAGGGAGCCCCGCAGAATGAGGACTTAGGGTGAGGGGTTACGCGCTCCGAAGCTGCGCTGCAGGTTCCATGAGGAACCCCCGCAGGATCTGCAGGCCTGGAACAAAACCAGACGCCGTCTCCTCCCTGATACTCCCTTGGGGTGAGGGAAGAGGGCAAGAGCCACCATCCCACCTGGGAATCCAGAGGCTGAGAGAGGCAGAGGCAGGCGATAAGGCAAAAAGGCTCAGCCAGAGACACGGAGAAGCCAAGAAAGAGGAATGAAAGATAGTGGAAGAGTCCAAGAAAAGTGTCAGACAGTGAGTCAGAGGGGGGGAGGGGCCTCCAGCAGCTTCCCAGGAATCAAGATACCGACCGTGGCCCCGTTCCCAGGAAGCACAGCCCCCTCCGGGGTCCTGGGGGAAGGAAAAGCAGTTCCCGGGAGCCGGCTCAGACAGAAACACCACCCCCCCCCCCAGGAGCCCCGGAGACAGGTCGGGAATCAGAGAGAACCAAGCTCCTTCCGGGATCTGCCTGGGCCCCGGGAATCAGACCGCCTGCCTGCCAGCACAACACACACACACACACACACACACACACACACACACACACACGCAGGAGCTGGCAGCCCTGGGCGAGGGGGGCACACCTCCCCACCCAACTCACCATAACACTCAGTCCACACTACCTGCATCCAGGAAAGGGCACCTCACCCAGGGCACCAAACAAGCCAAGGCTATTGTGGGGGGCTGGAGGCGGTGGGGTTCAGGGGAAGAGACAATCTCAGGGCCTCTGTGCACTCCAGCAGGCCCAATGCCCCAGCCCCCACCCCAAGCTAGTATTGGGGAGCGGGCACCTTCAGCAGCCTCCTTCCAACTCGAAGAATCTGAAACATGTGTCTTTTAACCTCAGAGGCCCTGACCTCGGGCAGGTCAGTGTCCCCCAAGACCCGAGGCCCTCAAGAACCACTTCCTGGGAGAGAGGGAGGGCACCGCTGAGCACTGGGGGCCCTCCACCCCATGGGGATTGGCCGGAGAAACAGCCTGGGCAGCCCAGAGGGCGGACAGGAAGCCGTGGCACACCCCTCCCCCACCTCTCCCTCTGAAAGTGATCAGAGGGGGGGGCGGGGACAGTGCCTCCGCCTCGGCCTCCAGGGCCTGGCACTGGGTAGGTGCCAAGGGCTTGCTGGCTACGTGAGGCAATTGCTTCTGCAGCAGGGAGACTGCACCTGACAGCCACTGCTCCCTCCACCCCAGCCAGGCCTCCTCCTTCCCTCTCATTCGTTCATTCATTCATTCACTCATTCATTCCACAAATATTGACGGAACTCCACCGAGGTGCCAGGCTCTGCTCTGGCACTTGGGCACAGAGAGAGCAAGACCCACCTTAGTGGGGTCCCCCGAGGTGCTGAGCTTAGAGGATAGGGGTACAATCAGCGTTCACAAGCACTGTTGTGTGTGGTGAGGGTGGGTGGCAGGGGTTGGGCAGAAAGGGCACAGGGCCCTCTGGCAGGAAGGAGGTAGAGAGAGTTCAGACAGGGGGCACAGCGTGAGTGAGGGACGTGAGAGGAGAGCTGAGTGGCCAGTGGAGAGGCCCGGGTGGGCAGGCGCCCAGGAAGCCACGGCAGGGTTTAGGCACGGAGTGACCGTACCAGATTTGCATTTTTAAAAAAGATGGCTCAGCACGGGGACAGGAGGGGGTGTGACGGGGAGAAGGGACAGGACAAGGACACAGGAGGAGAAAGGGGAACTTGGGGCCCGGGTGACCTCAGGCTGCAGAGACCGGGGATCTGAAGGATGTGGGGGGGCAGGGGGAGTGAATGATCGGTGCTGGAGGGCGGGGGGGGGGGGGAGGGTCATCTGCACGGGGGTGTCGGTGGGCAGCGGGGCCGGGGAGGGACCCTCTGTGTCAGCAGCGTGGGCTCTGCGGGTGCCCGTGCCAGCGAGCAGGAGTGACTCAGTGCGTGCCGGTTGCCGTGGCGCTGGCCTCGCCCGTGGGTGCCGGTGGAAAAGCCCCCGGGGGGGGGGGAGGGAGACCCGGAGGCCGGGAGGAAGTGCGTGCAGGGGAGGGGAGAGGAAGTGCGTGGGAGACGGAGCCTGCGGTGCCCGGGGCGGCCGGCGGGGAGCTGCGCCGTGACTCACCGTGGAGGTGGCCTCCGCGTGTGACGGCGAGTGACAAACAGGTGAGTGTGCGGCACGGCCCCTCCTCCTCCCCCTCCTCCCCCCTCTCCCCGGGGTCCGTGACTCACGGAGCCTCCTCCCGGCTCATCCCTCCGCGCCTCCCGGCCCGCCTCCCCGGGGCGCCGGGCACGCGCCGCAGCCCCGGCATCCACCCCCGGGGGGAGCCCGAGCAAGACGGCGGCGGCTGTCACCTGCTCCGGCCACGAGAGGAACTTCTGAAAAGTTCTCCGCGAACTGGGTCAGGAGGAGACGCGCCCGCGGACGCGCGCGCCCCGCCGCCCGCCGCCCGGCCCCCGCGCGCAGCTCGTCTCCGCCGCCGGCGCGGGGCGCGGGGCTCCGTGGGGCGCCCGCGGCGGGACGGGGGACGGGGGAGGGGAGCGGAAAGCCTGCGCCTCCGTGCCCTGCCCCCCCCGCCCGGACCCCGGCCGTGTCACGCCGCCCCGGGCCCGCTGGGCCGCGCTGGCCCCCGCGCCCGCTCCGGGTGTCCCGGGGGCGAACGGCAGGGCCCCAGGCGCAGCGCCCCCCGGGCGGGACGCCCCCTCCCCAAAGCCCCGTCCGGCCGGCCCAGACCCTCGGCGCTTACCTGCCCGCCAGGCGCTCTCCGCGGACCCCGACCGACGCGACCGCACGCCCCGCCGGGACGCCCTCCGCTCCGCGACCCCGCGTCTCCCCGGCCCGCAGCCGTCGGCCCTGCCTCCCCGGGCTCTGCGGTCCGGCAGCGGCGGCGGCGGGAGACAGTCTGCGCGGCCCCGCCCGCCGCTCCGCCCTCGTCGTCAGTGGAAAACTCCGGGGCGGCCGCGCTGACGCAGCCCGGCCGCCGGCCAGGCCTCCCGCCGCCGCGCCCCGCCCCGCCCCGGAGGCACCGCCCCCGCCCCGCCCACCCCGCCCCTCCGGTGCACAGCCTCCCGGTCCCGCCCCGCCCCGCCCCGGAGGCACCGCCCCGGTCCCGCCCGCCCCGCCCCGCCGGCTCCGCCCCTGTCCCGCTCGCCCCGCCCCTCTGGTGCACAGCCGCCCCGCTCCGCCTCGCCCCGGCCGGTCGGGACTGCGGGCCAACCCTCCCGCACGCCCGCAGGTTCACGTGTGCACGCCCGCAGCGAGCCCGGGCACGGCCACGAGGCGTCCCTCCGCCTCCTCCCGGCCGCAGGCGCCACCCTCCCCACCACGCGCCCCGGAGCGTGGCCGCCCTCACACCCTGGCCGCAGCCGGCCCTCTCGCCTCTCTGACCCCGGCTGCCGACTAGCACCCCATCGCCTAAGGCCGCAGATTCCCGTGCCCCGTCCAGGGAGCCTCCGGGACGCCGGCCCCTCCCCTCCCGGTCCCGCTCCCGCAGTGTGCATCCCGGTTCTCCTCGGGCGGCCCCAGACCACAGTTGTCAGCGAGGAGCCCAGCCCCCCGCGTTCCTACCTACCTCCCTCCAGGTGGGGGGTGGATGGGGGCGCGGAGCTTCTGGATGGCTCTGCCTCGGCGCGGACGGTGAAGGCCCCTCTTCAGCCAAAGGTGTCTATGTATAAGGGGCCCAGAGGGGCGTGCCCGCCTTCCCTTCTCCCGGGAGGAGCCCTAGGAGAAAGGCGGACTGAGGGAGGCCACCATCCCGCCCTTCCCGGACGCCTGGGGGTCTGCCGCGGGCGGTGTCTGCACCGCTGGGGCCAAGTCCCCAGGGACTTCGCAGCGCCCTCAGGTCCAGGTCTCCACTAACTCCCTGGCCCCCCGTTGCAGGCTCAGGGCCCTCTCTTCCTACTCCCACCTCCATGTCTTTCATTGGTGTTCATGGCTTTTTATTTGTGCACGGTGCTAGTCACGCCGGCCCAGCTGCACAGTGTTCACTTACACGTGAGGTTTTCTGCTCTCTATCTCATTAAGTTTCTCCCAGGTTTATCGCTACCCTCCCCACCCCACACCCTTGATAAAGCTCTAGGCTGCGTGAGTGGATTCAAGGTGCCCAGTGAGCGTGTACAGGGAGGTGGGGCTGGGCTGCAGGAGAGGGCCGGGCTGGAAGTGGCGATGGAAGGGTGCATTGAAGGAGAAGGCTGGTGCATTGAAGCCTCGGCTGATGGCTGAGACAGCTCAGGAGGGCGTGTGAGGCTGTGGAGCTGGGTGTCCGTTGCTAGAGGTGGCTCAGCCCTCAGGGCTGTGATGCCCACCACCCTCCGCATCAGGCACTCAGCTATGCCCTCCCTGTGGCTGCCTCCTTCCTGTCTCTTAATTCTCTGGCCAGGTCCCCAGGAGGAAGGGAATCTCTGTGACCTGGAGTGGAGTTCTGATTTCTCTCTCTCTCCCTCTCTCCCTCTCTCTCTCCCTCTCTCTCTCTCCCTCTCTCTTTTTCTCTCTCTCCCCCCACCCCCCATGAGAACACTAGACCTGAGAACCCCACCAGCTTCAACATTCCTTGAATGAGAAGACCCTGCCAGGTTGAGCACTAGAGTTCCTGAGGATTTCTCAGGCTGCCTAGGTTTGCATCCTGCCAGGCACCAGGCCAGGGAGTTGGCAAGGGATTGGGGGGCCAGGGAGCCCAGTGGGTGACGGGGTTTGGGGCCAGGAACAGAGGAGAGAACAAGGGGAAATACAGGAGACTAAAAAGAATCCAGTAAGGGGTGCGTTTTCTCCAGAAAAGCCTCTCTGACCTGGGATGGGCTCGCCAGATGTTGCCCAGATGTTGCCGATGATGGAAACCATCTCCCTCTGGGATCCCAAGCAAGTGCTTCCTGTTGGTGGGGAAATAAGGGGTCTGTTCCAAGTCAAGCAGGGTGGGGTCTGGAGCAGCATCCATCTGGGACTGTGGCACATACAGGAACACACCCACACCTCCCCAGGGCATGCTGAGGACTTGAGAGCGTCCAACAAGTTTCTCAGGCATTCAGCATCCTTGGACCACCTGTTTTAGGTAAATTAAAAAAATTACTAGTTTTACATATTGTTAAACATTCATGACGAGTTCCCATCAGGAAGACTAAAATTTAAAAGATTAAAAAAAAAATAGCAGCAAATGCAGCAAGATTGAAAATTCACCAGCTTTATTAAACACTGTTGGGGGGAGGGGGGGAAGTGAATTGATAGAGTTTGGAACATAATTCGGCAGTTCCTACTAAGATCAAACATAGGTAAACTCCGTGACCTTATCATTCTTTTCCTCGGTATATACCCAAGAGAAAAAAAAAAAAAAAAAAAAGGTTTTTATGCTCACCGAAGGCCACAGGAATGTTGTGGCAGCTTTATTCATAACAGCCTAAAACTGGAAACAACCTAAATATCCAACCTGCACGTGGGAACAAATTATGATTTATCACACAATGGAATTTTACACGGCACAGGGGGGAAAAAAAAACACAAACACACACACACACACAATTGCATCATTCAATGACAGGGATGAACCTTTAAAACATTGTACTGAGTAAAAGAAGCTGACCATAAAAGAGCAATAACTACGACTCCAGTTATTTGCATGAAGTTTAAAAATAGGCAGCACTAGAGCACAGTGGCAGATAACATTACCTTGGAGAGTAGTGAACAGGAAGAGCCACCAGACAGTCTTCTGGACACTGGACATGTTTATTTTGACTTGGGCAGTGGTGGGACAAGTACGTACACGTGTAAAAAAGTCAAGGTCAACGCTTCAGATCAATTCACTCCGTACAGGTTTTGCCTTGGAGAGGGAATGACAATCGGTGCCCTTGTTTTCAGCCTCCCACCAGTAAGTCTACCTCCTTATCAATGAGGATACCCGAGGCTCAGCGTTCAGGTTCAACGGGGTAGGTTTCTCTCCCTATAAATTAGTGGAGCGGGGAAGAATTTTAATCCACCGTGATTCCTAGGTTGCCAGGAGCTGCATGTTACTTTGCATCTAAGAGTTTTATAGTTTTAGCTCGGTCTTTTATTTAAGAGTTAATTTTTGGCCAAAACCAGTTTAGCTCAGTGGATAGAGTGTCGGCCTGCGGACTGAAGTGTCCCAGGTTCAATTCCGGTCAAGGGCATGTACCTTGGTTGCGGGCACATCCCCGGTGGGGGGGGGTGCAGGAGGCAGCTGGTCGATGTATCTCTCTCATCGACGTTTCTAGCTCTTTATCCCTCTCCTTCCTCTCTGTGAAAAATCAATAAAAATATATTTTTTTAAAAAAAAGAGTTAATTTTTGTATACGGTGTAAGGTCAGAGTCCAACTTCCTTCTTTTGCAGGTAAATATTCAGTTTTTCCAGCAGCGTTTATTGAAAAGATGTTATTTTTCAAAATCAAATCAAAGCAGCTAAGTCCCCAGAACTTCAACCGCAGTCAGCAGGGACACTCTCCCATGTGCTGCCCCAACCCCACTACCTCCGAGGCTTATCTGGGAGTGCTGTTCTCTGTCCAGGACGGCCTGGCTCTCTGATGTTTCATCCAAGTTGTCTGCTCATGGCTAATGCACCTCTTATCCAAGCCTATGGATCTACCCAGAGTAGGTGGTGGCACCCTCGGTGGTGGGAGGGAAGGCAGGGAGTCTTTAGTGAGGCTGGGAGTAAGGACTAAGGTCCCATCTCCTTAGGAAGCTCAAATGCCCCTCTCTGGACAGCCCCACCCCTCCAGTCCTGGGGAGAATCTTGTCCATCTCCACCTTCCTCTTCCTCCTACTCAAAGGAACTTAATTCTCCAGGCTCCTGCTACGGATGTAGGTGTGAATGTTCTTACAAGGAACATGCTTGTTTATCAATGAGAGAGAACCATCAATCGGCTGTGTCCTGCAAGCCCCCTGCCGGGGATCGAGCCCACAACCTTGGTATGTGTCCTGACCAGGAATCAAATGGGCAACCTCTTGGTACATGGGCTGTCACTCAACCACTGAGCCACACTGGCTGGGCTAAACTGGAAGGCTTTTGAGTGTAGGTCTGTGGGTGAAAAATCCGAGCTGTTGAATTCTGGGTCAAAGGTTTTGACAGATATTGCCAAATCATCCTCCCAAAAGTTGCACCAATTTCACCCAGCCAGTAGTCTCTGAGCATGCCTGTTTCCTAACACCCTCCCTGGCACTGGGTCTTATCAGACTTACTGATCTCTGCCAATCTGATAGGAGAAACAAAGAGGATATCTTACTGCTTCAATGGGCACATCTCTAATTATGAATGAAGTTGAGACTTTTATAAGCCATTTGTACTTCTCTCTAAACTGCTGGCTTGTCTTTACCTATTTTGTGTTGGGTTGTTTTAAGTCTTTGAGGATTGAGGATGTCATACTTATTCCTGGATGGTTTTTTACCTTAGTTTCTAGTATGTTTTATTACCACACAGACATTCTGAATGTTTATATAGTTCATTGAGGGACCCTAGTTTTGTTGTGCTGCAGTGCCATCATATTATAAATAAATTCACCTGTTCTTTTCTCTAGTGTTTTATTGGCTTATTTTTAACATCTAAAACCTTTATCCATTTACAATGTGTTTTGATGTAAGGAATGGAATAGTGTTCCCACTTTACCTTTCCCCTCCAAAGTCAGTTACCTTACATAGAAATTGACTTCTCATGTATATTGGGATCTGCTTGGGGTTCTCTATGCTGGTCCACTGGGTTATATCTATTTATTTCATTTTTAAGTACCATATTGCTTTACAAATTATAATTTCATAGTGTGTTTTATCATCTGACAGGTCTAACCCCGTGGTCGGCAAACTGCGGCTCGCAAGCCACATGCGGCTCTCTGGCCCCTTGAGTGTGGCTCTTCCACAAAATACCACGGCCTGGGCGAGTCTATGTTGAAGA